AACAAAAAAAAATAGAGCAATGTCTGGAAACATTAAGAAGAATAATTCAGCAACTTGTTGATCAAATAAACCCGGAAGAAGAATTGGAGATAAAAGGGATATGAGTAATGTTATGCAACCAAGACCAAGAAATAGAAGAGATGTTTGAAAGGACCATGAAGAAGAGCAAAGCCCAGCAAATCCACAACGATATGCACCTGTACCTTCAGGACCTGGACTGTCCTGTTAGGTTCAACCCCGTGTTATCTGTTGAAGTTGCTGATGCAACCTGGAATGAAAAACTAGTTCAGGCGTGCATGCTGTTAAAAACTTAAACCCTCGGGCCCAGTCTAATGCTCATGTTCTGGAAACATACTATAAAGTTGGTAGCCTATTGTTTGAGTCTGGTTGGGGCGACAAAGCAAGGAAAAAGTTGGCTCAGCAACTCCCAGGTTCCAAGAGAAGCCTTGTCTGAAAGATTGCTACATGTACGTACCTGTTATTCAGTACCCGTGGCAAATATAGTATGTATATAGTTTAACATATTTCAATTTTAGTGCTGAAACGAATGTTGGACTCTGACTTTACAGAATTGTTGGCAGAAGCAAGGAGGTTAAGAGAGGTTGATACTAAGAGGATGTTGGCAGATTCGATGGAGCTCACCCTTTAGAGGAGGAATATGTTATAGAAAATTTCTTCAAAATTTTCCTTACTGTATTTTTTTTTGTGGTATAGTTTGTCTTCCCTATATGTAAAAGCAGTAGATTATGTGAATGCGATAGAATTTGCACATGTATGGGTTCGAAACCTGAGGTTAGCGTTTGAAACCCTGGGTCCAGGTGTAGAACCCCAGATCTGCGTCTGAAACCCCTGATCTGGGTTCGAAACCCCAGATCCAGGTTTGGAACCCTCAACCATCAAAATATATAAATAGAATGCTTGCTTAATAAATAAAGTAACTCTTTCTTACTCTGCTCAAGTAATAATTACAGTGAATACGTGACCAGTTCTTCTTATTTTTGTACCCAATAATAAATGATACGCACTGATCTTGTCTATTAAGTAACACATAGTAACTGACCGGAACCTAACTCGAACCTAAACGTAATCTACGGTGACCTAACTCGAACCTAAACGTAACCTGCGGTGACCTAACTCGAACCTAAACATAACCTGTGGTAACCTAACTTGGACTTAAGCATAACCCGTAACGCCTCTTCTGAATATAGTCCTATTAATTGATAATTATTACTATATACGAATCCGGGTTGTACTACTCACCATCAGGATTTATGCTTACGGTGCTGGACTAAATTGGCTTGGATATATAAAAGCTCTTCCTAGTCGTAACAGTATACACTATAAAATAAAGCGTACATAAATCCAATAGAATGAAATAAGCTACACACGTATGTACAGTATGTACGTACATATCAAATTTTGCCGAATACCAAAATAAACTATTAATTTCTGCCGAATAACAAAATAAACTATCAATTTCTGGAAAATAACCAAAATAAACTATCAATTTTTGCCAAATAACCAAAATAAACTTTTTTTTGCCAGAATAACTCGAGTTATTTTGGCAGTCCGATCATAGTAATTAGATGGATAAAAAATTTTATAGTTAAGGCCACGCAAAGTTAATTTTTCGTTTTGCATTATCCGCCGACCCAAATTTTTCAAAATCCCTATTTTTTTTTTTTTTTTTTTTTTGAGTTTTTATTATTATTATTATTTCATTTTTTTTGTTTATTTTTTTCATCTTTTTTTTCCCGTTTTTACCGCCCCTCACCTTTA